TCGAGCTACCTTCGAAAGACTTTTATTGAGCGTTTGGTTATTTCATTGTTCGATTTTTAAGTTTTATTGTCTATGTATGAATTTATTATTTAATTTACTTAATAAAGTATTTTATTCAATTTTTTTTTGTAATTTTTGAGTTTATTTATTTGACCCTAACTACCGTAAACTACCACCGGTTCCAAAATTGGGAGACCTTTCTGAGAAGAACCGGCGAAACAAACTCCAGAGAGGCTTTCTATCTCCTTCTTATGTTAAATTATGCAAACAAAAAAAACTAATAGTATCTGATGGTCTTGCAGTGTGTGCTCGGGGTTGGGATTTTATCTCCTGTATAATAGGTTCCCAAGCTGGTGGTATATACCAACCATCTTCCCTATTGAAATTTGGATATTTTTTAATCTCAATAGCCTCGCGCATCATTCGAGGAACGAACCGCCCGTACCGTTAACCCGTAAAAACTAGTTTTATTTAATGAGTGATGTGCGTGAAAACCTAAGAAACAAATAAATATTTCTTAATATATTGTAGATTTTATAATTTCATAATATTAATTTAATATCTACATTTCATGCAGATTATCTTCTTACCTTTTATGTATTTTTTTTCTCCGGAAGGCTAATACTTATCGTTCCCCTTCCAGGAGATGCAATGTTATGAATCAAAGTTACTGCAATGCAATTCTAAGCTACCCAGGCAACGTCCCTATGACCTGTAGCTACCCCAGAAGGGCTCTCCAGTCCTAAGCAGCTGACGAAGCCCCTGCTTACCCCAACTCATCCACTTACCCCGACGAGTTTGGGCTGCACCCTGTGCGCAGACTACCCTTCGTGCAGTCTACCCTGGACCTACAGACAACCCTTACCTTTTTTTTACTAAAATTAACTTTAACTTTTAAGATACCCAAGCGTTATCGACCAAATGCGACACAACCTGTTTTTTTTTTACCTAACTATTAAATTATTTGTAACGAAATTTTATTTGCGTGACCGTGCGGCTCCAGCCAGCGGCTAATTCAACTCCATTTCATTAATCTCGTTTAAACTTAATGTACCATTAATATAACTTAACCTAAACCTAACTTAACCTTAACTTAACTTAACCTTAATGAGCGGATCCTACCAATAACTGAAGTTATAATCGGAGTCTATTTTTATTTACCCCACTTACCCGGTTTTTCACGTTACAATATGTATTAGTATAGGTATCTCCGTTACCCTAGTATCCCATAACACAAGCCTACAGTGCTTACTTTGGGGCTAGGCTAATTGGTGTGAGTTTTGGAAATATTTATTTAAGTAGAACTTAATTCACCTATGAGGTAATCATGTGGTAAAAAGACATTATAAAATTTTATTAGATCTATTATAAAGAGTGAAATCTTTAGAAAAATTGTTATATCCAGCAGCATAAAGGCTTTATTAGATGCAATCTTGCGCTCGCTGGGTAAGGCTTCCCGCTTCTTGGGAACGATGTTACTTCGTAAGGCTTGATGCTGACTCGTTCCTTATTAAAAGTCGCGCACTATCCCTTGATAGTTTCTGAAAGAATACGTATAATGGATAAAATAATAGAATGCTTCTCCTAGTTAATTTAGTGTGCACAGGCAGCTTCTTCTCTTAATTACAATTACTTACACTGTTGAACACAATTCATAGGTCTACTAAATCTCTGAAAGACAGTTCATCCATTTTTAGGGTTCCGTAGTACTGACAAGGAACCCTTATAGTTTCTTCATATCCGTCTGTCTGAGACTGTTGGCGCTAGAGAGCCATCTTTTTTTTACTATTAATTTGTGGAGGTATGTATATCAAGAACGCCGACAAAGTGGTAGAATAAAATGGTGAAAATACAATTTTTTTTGTAAGGTCCCCTACATGTATGCTGGGTGCGGAGAAGCGGTCCCTCAACGGGGATCTCGCGTTTCCGCTTTTAACAGCTCAGCGTAGAGGGTACTCGCAGGGTTCATTAGCGGATAGTGTGCCGCAAGCGCTCGTAAGCAGCGCGTAGTGCTTAACGGCTTTTCCGTTTTGGCCAACGTCTGTAAATAGAGGTTTTGCCTGCGTATTAAAAAATAAAAAATGTTCCCCTACATGTATAATGGTGATGTTTTTTTTTCCTCATCTACCCCATCGTGTGGGGTATTGTTGAATAGGTCCTTTAAAACTACTTCAGATTTGCTAAGACTGTTTTTGGAATTAGGGATCCGTTTGCGAAATAATAAACTTTAAATTTAAAGTAACTATATAGTTAACTATAATTGCTATTTCTTCTTTCAAATGTTTAATACTTAAAAAAAGTATTCATTTGACATTGTGGGTTACCTACAATGCAATGCGAAGAGATGGCGCTGCCTTGCAACTTAAGGCTAGGAAAATTTCGACGCGGCCAATAGGGCCGTGGTAGCATAATAGTCAGTGCATTCGCCCGGATTGCGAAGGGTGCGGGTTCGAGTCCCGTCCGCTGCCTGGTCCGCGTGGATTTTTTTTTCTAGTAAACTTTTCTTTAGATTTAAACATCTAGCAGTTAAATGCTTAAAAATAAATAAAAACAAAACTTTAAATTGCTGTTTTTGTTTGATTAGGGCGCGCCCCTTACCTCTAAAAGCTAAACATTTACTTGAAAATCTGAAAGAAAAACATGATGCTAGTGCTTTTCATGAACTTTTAAGGAAAGATATGTTAGTTAGTTTAAGAGTAATACTTAATCGTATCTTAAATTCTATTACCTAATAAAAAATCTTTAGAAGAACACATTAGAAGTGACTTAGTTAAAGTAATTGCTTGTTTATAACGCGTAAATAACTATTCAATAAACCACAGTAAAATATCTACGGAACCCAACACTGCGCGTGGCACGACAAGCACTTTGCCGGTTTTTTAGGATTATGTAGTTTTTTTTAATTCTGTTCCAATATACTCATTGTATTTTTGGTCACGGATTATCATCATCATCACAGGCCTTCTCTATGGATGGAATAGGGAAATGGGTCATGTTTCCACCACGAGGGCATTTTGCGAATTGGTGGGTGCTAACGATTTCAGATGCAACCGGGACCAACAGCTTAACGTGCCTTCCGAAGCACGGAGGAGCTCAAGCATTCGTCATGGGCTATCATGGAATAGGAAATCAACCACTTAAAATCAAAATATTTGATTTATAATAAAATATTTCCAACACTCACACTAATTAGCCTATCCCCAAAGTAAGCACTGTAGGCTTGTGTTATGGGATGCTAGGGTAACAGATAGAATACATCTACTGATACACATACAAGTTAATTTATATAGAAATGCATATTAAACATCCATGACTGGAGTACAAATGCTCGTATTCATCACACAAACATCTGCCCCTACCGGGATTCGAACCCGGGACCTCTCGAGTAGGCGACACCTTGAAACCCGGCGTACAAGCCAATCGACCACAGAGGTCGTCAAATTTTGATTGATTTTGATTTGATTACCCATTGACATCCATTGATCGGCCATTGCAATAGTAGTATATCAGTGTTTCCGGACCAATACGACCGAAAACCCTTCAAAAAAGAGCGCTCTCTTACCGCAAAGGCCGGCATCGCATTTGTGATACTCCTGGTGTTGCAGATGTCTATGGGCGAAGGTGATCACTTACCATCAGGTGAGACTTCAGCTCGTATGTCACCTATAAAAAAGTATAGCTTCCATGATCTCAGACCTATCACGCTAACCAGGGCTCTCTAGATCTCCTCAAATGGCAAATCGAATTATAAATGCTGAAATCCGCATGAAAACTAAGTTCGCCGTCATAGCCCAAAGTATTGCGAGCCTTAAGTGGCAGTGGGCAGGACACATTGCAAGGAGGACTGACGGCCGTTGGGGCGGAAAAGTCCTCTGGTGGCGGCCGTGTACCGGGAGACGCAGCGTTGGTAAGCCAGAAAGTAAACAAGATGTACCGACGATCTGGTGAAGGTCGCGGGAAGCCGCTGAATGCGGGCAGCGCAGGACCGATAGGCTTCGGAATACCTTGGGGAAGGCCTATGTCCAGCAGTGAGTGTCTCTTGACTGATATGATGATGACGACACAAATATTAAAATTCACTTTCAATAGTTAATAAGAGAGAAACTAGGCGCCCATTATAAGTTCGAAGCTCGCCTAATAGAATAAAACGTAAATAGACGGAATGATAATGAGTCTTATCAGCTTATGTTGTTATGCCAATGTTCTACATACATCAATGTTCTCACAATAAATCTTGTTGTAATAGAGTTCTACCTTTTCATGTCTCCGTAAGCGCTCAAATCATATTTCACTCACGAGTCATATTACTCCGTGTATTCATGAAAATTGCTCGTACAAGTTCGATACATATTTCTGTGTCAATACTGATGGGAAATACGAATCTCGGGATGTTTAAATATGTATTTGTAATGTGGTGCTTGAAACACAGGGGGGTTGTTAAAATTATATACATATAAGTTCTCCCCGATAAGTTACTAAAAATCACTTTAACTATTTCTTGGAAAAATAAAAGTCGAAAGGCATTAAATAGAGTACGAAGATTTTAATGAAAACAATAAATTATAAGAGGTATTGATACTAAGAAGATGATGATATTAGTAATCTTGACAGATATTTGCCAGTTCGTAATAGCTGATTGTTTTATATTTATCGTCGCAAAACTTAGATTAATTAGATTAGATTAATTTGTCGCAAAAGGAATAAGTATATATTTTATACTCCCATTAATGATCTCATTAGACTTTTCTATTGCAGCAAGGGAGAGACAGATAAAGATATATTTAACCACGATTATAGTAATTTTATTTAAGGCAAGACAATATATAGTAATATATGGAAAGGGGCTATGTAAAAAAAACTCCTTACAGCAACTTCCTAGGAAAGGCGTATAAAAATGCTAAAAATTGGATTCTTCCAATACCATAAAGTTAAGCGATATCCCTAGCGAAGTTCCCATAAAGCAACCACCAATTACTCCGCGTTTTTTATTGGGGCATAAGCCAAAAAGTCGGCGTGTCGTTAGTCGCAATGACGCGCGACGCCGCCGCAGTAATCCGCTCAGCGCCGTCGCAGAACCAAGAAAAGCGCTTCGGATATGACGACTTCGTGGAAATACCGACGGGATATAGATAGCCAAGTTTCTGACATGTTCTTGGTATTTAACTAACTGTAGATATGTGTTTGGTATTGAACACAAAAGTTTGCTTTGTAGCTTTTAGTAATCCAGAGTTGCGGGACTTTGCTACACATGTTCCTCAAAATAAATATTAGGTTAGTTCGGTTAGCTAAAGTGTTATGAAATTTAAAATTATTAATAAAAAAGGCTTCACCAGCTGGCTTAGGAAACCAGACGTCCACGTAGGAGGCAAGCTTTCTACCACTGAACCATCAATGCTTTTTGATATGAATTGTTTTTTTTAAACAATTAAAAATGTAATGCGACATGCTAAAGATGAATGAAAAATAGTTGTGGTGATGCGAAAAGGTTTCAGCTTAAAAAATGAAACAAAAAAATTGTTTAAAATAATACTATTTTAAATCATTTTGTGACTTTTCTTTTTAATTAAAAAAAAATGGTTGCCTGTAAAGTCGGTTTTACGGGCGAAGATTTTACGTGACAACGTCTTTTTCTCGGTAGAATATTTATTGATATGAATATAATTAAATTGCACAATAGGAACAAGGAATTGAATGAAAATAAGAATTGCACAAATTTTAACTATAGAAATATATTTTGTTTACTAAAACATTGTACATGTAAACTTAAACTTAACACGAGAGACTCATCGTAACGTTACCGAGCGTTACACTTTTTCATAAGTGACTCCCAGCCGCAACCTAATTTAAGACGTTGTCACGTCAAAAAATCCAATCATGAAATAATATTACTCCTTGTTGATACTACAGTAAGCGTGACAGTGCAAATCTGAGCCAACTATCCTTTAGCCACATCCACGCATCCAAGATGGATATTCCAGGCGATGACTGCGTGCTTCTGGGCGAATGTCGCTCAGCCTTTCCTAATACGTTTATATCTACTACAGGAAACAATTTCCGTCAATATCTCTAAATCCTGCAGCGTCATGTTTTTCGTACAAATACTTACACGTTGTTCATTTTAGTAAGCGCGTAAAATAATATCTTCAATGACAGATGAATTTATATAATAGGTTGGGGAAAGATTTTTCGCATTAAAGTGTGTATGCTTTTGTAATAAAATCTCTTTGGCCATTTATATCTGGCTGGTTTTGGTATCATTAAAAAGTTTGAAATTTAAAGAAGATAATTAATCCAAAGTCAAATTAGAAAAAAAAGTGATTTTCATTTATTTTTCTTACTGTCAAGATGAGTGAATGTAATGAAGAAATTCGATACATTTAAAAGTTTACTACAAAAACTATAAAATACAACGAAACGATAAAATGCAACGCAAACCGCGAAAAAAATGGTAATGTGTATGGACCTAGTGCAGTGTTAGTGAGAGTAGCACAAATTTAATTGAGGCGTTTTCAATCCAGAAATTTTGAACCATGTACTCAATTGTGAGGGCATTATCAGGACCATCATTTCTGAACTCTACTGCGAACAACTGATGACATTAAAGAAAGAAGTTGAGAGAAAGCGGCCGGAATAAATCTACAGAAGGGGTGAGGTTTTCATCATGATAACGCTAGACCCCACACATCTTTAGCCAATCAGAAAAAATTAAGAGAGTTTGACTGGAAGGTGTTAATCCATCCGCCATGTAGTCCTGACCTTGGACCTTCAGATTTCAACCTGTTCAGTCTCTTCCGAATTCATTAGGCAGTGTCATCACGTTAACATCACGAAAGGACTGCCAAAACTACTTGTCGCGGTTTTTGATCAGAGAGGAGGAGGAGAGGATCCAAAATATAAAAAAATGGGAGCATATCTCTACCTACTTACAAGATGGCAAAAAGTTATCGAACAAAATCGTAAATACACACTTCATTTAAATGTAAAAAAAAAATATTAAAAATGTTTTGAATGTTCATATAATATTCAAAGAAACTTTTTCCCCAACTTAATACATTGGCCTCTTGTGTACAATAACATAACTCAGGAATTAAGTTCTGAAAAAAGAACAATCCAAATAAACCACGCAAAAAAAACGGCTCATGTTACGCGCTTAATCGATTTTATAGCCATTTTCCCAGAATAGTAAAATAAAAAAAATACAATAGGCAAGATTTAATTATCCGTGTATCTCGATTATTAAGTAAATAGTTTCGCGATCCCATTGTATCTTATATACCGCTGATAGGTGTGACCTATATCGGAGGCGAGAAAACGCGTCTATATCGTGTATCAAAGATTACACGAGATAGGGAAAACAAACTTGCGAGAACTAATCCTCGATTATGGAGCGCATAACCATAGAACTGGGACTTTAAACAGGTCCAAAACCAATATTAGGGTCATTACTCGCACAAGGAAGCTTGAACTCTCTGGGAATCTTGACTTGGAGGTGGTTTATAACTTATTAAATACTGTATACCGAAACTTAAGTTTATAGAATATGTCAAAAACTATTCAAAAACTTTTAAAAAGGTGTGTGCCATAACAAAAGCTAAGTTTTTATCTAAAAAAATTAGTCTTGCCGATAGTAAAATAAAGACAACTTGGAATATAATTAATAATGAAACTGGAAGAAATAAATCTTTAAAAATAGACAACAAGATTATTCGGACAGATGATGCACACATATTCTTTAAAAATAGACAACAAGATTATTCGGACAGATGATGCCATTGCAAACGCTTTTGAAAATTTCTTTTCTAGTGCACCATTTGAAACAACTAAAAATCTTAATTCTTGTTCTAGGTTAGCAATATCCCTCCTTGAGTCAAGTTTTGATAAGTGCAGTAATGATTTTCATTTTAGACATATCAGTAGTGATTGTATTATAAAAACTTTTAATTCCGTTAAAATTAAAAAGACAAAGGATTATTGGGGAATATCAACATATATAATAAAACCGATTATAACTGTCATTGCGCCACAACTGGCCATTATATTTAACAAATGTATTGATAAGGGAGTATTTCCAGATCTAATGAAATGTGCTAAAGTTATCCCTCTCTTTAAGGTTGCTGACAAATCAGATCCCAGTAATTTTAGGCCTATATCTGTATTACCAGCGCTAAGTAAAGTATTTGAGAAAATAATTTATAACCAATTACAAGCACACTTTTCTATAAATAAGCTATTTCATTTAAAACAGTTTGGTTTCACTAGAGGCAAAAGTACTACTGATGCTCGAACTGCACTTCTCAAACACATTTTTGATATATGGGAGAGTCAGCACGATGCTATTGGCATTTTCTGCGACTTATCAAAGGCGTTTGACTGCGTTAGTCATGAAACATTGTTAAATAAAATGAAGCATTATGATGTATCAAATATTTCACTAAGTCTGATACAGTCTTATCTTTCTGCTAGGATTCAGAAAGTAGGTATAAATGAAGCTGAGTCTACAGGAGCACCCATTTCTATAGGCGTGCCCCAGGGATCAATATTGGGCCCATTGCTTTTCCTCGTATATATCAATGACCTTCCTCACTTTACAAGAGATTTGTGAGAGACAGTACTATTTGCTGATGACATATCTTTAGTGTTTAAAGCTAGAAGAGGAAATGATTGTTATGACGAAGTAAATTGTGCTCTCTCTGAAGTCCTTCACTGGTTTATGGTAAATAATTTAAAACTTAACTCCAGTAAAACAAAATGCGTTAAGTTTACTCTACCTAATGTGAGGCAGGTTAATACTAGTATGAAATAAATGACCAGCCTGTAGAGTTAGTGGATTCTACAAAGTTTCTGGGTATTACTTAAGACTCTCGTCTGCAATGGGATCTTCATATTGATGCCTTGTCAAGTAGATTGAGCTATGCAGCTTTCGCTGTTAAAACAAAAATAAGACTCCTAACTGATGTGGAAACGGCAAGATTAGTTTACTTTGGTTACTTTCATAGTGTTATGTCATATGGCCTTTTGTTGTGGGGCTCTGCCGCTAATATCGAAAGTATTTTTATACTGCAAAAGAGAGCTGTTCGCGCCATATACAATTTAAAGGCAAGAGAAACCCTTAGAGAAAAATTCAAAGAAATTAATATTTTAACACTTGCGTCGCAATACATATATGAAAATTTAATATATGAAAGAAAAAACTATGATGCATTTGCAAAAAAAAACTCAAACCCATAACTTTAACACGAGATTTAAGAACAAGCTTGCCGTTCCATGTTTCAGACACCAAAAATCAAGAGGTTAATTTCTGGGTTGTAGTATTGCATTGTTTAATAAAGTTACCCTAGATCTGATTGAACTTCCACTGACTAAATTTAAATTTCAGATCAAAAATACTCTTCTGAATAAGGGCTATTATAAAGTTGATGATTATCTGAATGATCGTAATGTATGGTCATAGTGTTTCTTATAATTTGTTATTTAATGGGTATTAGTCATTTTTCATAACAGTAATATTGTACCTATCTTATGCCGCTTCCTATATACTAAATATAATGTTAACTATAAAATTTATTGTAACTATATAGGGTGAAATTGAATGTTTCAATGAAACTTCGTGAGATTGTTGGGTGACGTGTATAGAGTATGCCTGATTTTTTTCGGATTTTTTTATTTTTTTTTATTTGGTTATTTTTTTGTCATTTCTTCCTTATGAGTAATTATTCATTTTAAACACGTCTACATAGAAGTTGTAAAACAACTTAAAATAAGCACTCCTAAAAAAACGGAAACTTATGAATGCCGAGATCAGCGCCGGCCGGGAGCGACGACCGGCGGCCGCCTGTGTAGGTACCTACTACACGCACAGATGACTCGGCGCTTACCTACTTTCCGCTTTGATTCTACACTATTTATAAACATTACAATAAAATAGTCTTAGATGCTATATTATAATTATTGATTCACTGATACACAATACCTTTGAATATTATTTCATAAAGCATAGGTAATTAATCAATAAAATAAATCTTCTGTTAGAGCAATTAAAAATCCTATAAAGTTAATATGACTGTCACGATTTTAAATCGGTAAAGCCTGTCTGTTAGTATAAGAACTTCTTTTTTATTGCTAATGTTAGTCGC